GACACCACTTGCGTGATCAATGAAATGCGTGAAATTAATAATATTGTGACGTACTTATACTTTCTAACATAAAATTAAGGATTACAAATTAATTCCGATATTTATTTTAATTTCCTTTTTTATTTTAATTTGTTTATTATTTACTCGTATATTTTCTATAATTATACTAGCATGTTTCATTTTTAAATTCATCATTATTATTGAGCACGTAGGATATTGAAATCATGCCCCCCCCCCCAAAAAAAAATAAATAAAGACCTGGTTCATATTGTTCTCTGAACATAAAGCTTTAAATTTAAATCTGTAAAAGTTTTGGATCTTTCCCTAATCACTGCTGACATCGTTTGTCTCGGTATCACTGTCATGGGTAATATAAAGATTAGCGTTAATTGCGCTTTGATTGAATTCAGTCTAAATCTAAATCGGAGAAAATCCACAGAATTTTTTGTTGTGGATGTTATTAATCAAGCGCGGGTTGAGCCAGTGGTAGTGTGTATGTACGGCACAGGTACAGTCGCAGATGTTGTATACCAGGCAGAGGATACAGTCATAGATATACAAAATGTAGGCATAGTCAAGTTTACATATATTTTCCGCGATATATTCACTAAGCCAGTTATCGTTACCGTTTTGGCGACTACAGCCTTCCATAAAGTAGATTTATTTAAAATCAGAAATTTTCTTTCCTCCATATTTACACATTTCGTATTTTTCATTAAAAAACAATCCATACTTAATTAACAACATATAGTTTAATATGTTGAACAATCCGGAAAATGTTGCTCTGACATTCCGTTTTTGATATTAGTGAGCAGGTACAGTCATGGATGTCCGGTACCAGCACTGCCGAGTACAGTTGCGGATGTTAGCTGACAGACCCCACTCGGTTCGAATCCCACTGTGGGACGTGTAGACCGGTCCTTCGGATGAGACCGTATAAACCGAGGTCCCGTGTCGCAGTAGGTGCTGGCACGAAAAAGATCCCTCACTGCTCAATGGCCGTATAAGTGCCGAGTATAGGACAAAATTTGCAGCTCTCCACCGGCAAGTGGTGGCGTCTCCATATCATGAGTGAAAAATTCTCGAGAGGGACGTTAAACAACATACAAACAAACAAAAAGCTTTGATATGAATTTGTGAAATAACAATCCATATTGCCTGAAAAAAAAAGAGGAATTTTTGTTTTACGGGGGGGGGGGGTTAAAATATTTTCCGTTTTCCATTGATTTTTATGGTGAAAAATACAATTTTTACCAAAATTATAGAGTTACCTCTCTTTGTTTTCCCAAATAAGTAATGTTTTATGAAAAATCAGATAAATATCTATATCAAAGGCGGATCCAGCACCGGCGCGTCGGGCGTGCGCCCCCCCCCCCCCCCTTGTTTGAATTTTTTTCTTTTTTGGATATTTGGTTTGTATTATCCCAAAATCAAGGGAAAAAACACCTCTTATTTGTTAGATTTCGTCAGTTTCCGGGGGCAAAGCCCCCGGATCCCCATCAGGACTTTGCCCTGGAACCGCTAGGGGCTTTGATGCAGCACCCAGACCCCCTGCCTTCTACTGCCCCCCCCCCCCTCGCCGTTATGAAATTCCTGGATCCGCCACTGTATATAAATATGAAAAATCATTCAAATGTGTCAACTTTTAAAAAATTGACTTGGAGGTAGGCGTGAGAACATTTACTATCGTTCGCAGTTTTTTCTAAAATATTAAGAAATTGTAAACTCATTGTTGTGAAACTTTGGGTGAAAAATTAAAAACTATACCGTATACGGTTTAACTTATTCATTTTATTTATATAAACATGACTTCAGTTGTTATTTTCAAGATTTTTGATAAAAGTTTGTACATACATCACCTGTCTTTAAAATCATATTATAGTCAATAAAGCGTACACCATTGGATACATCAAAAACCATCCCGGCCCATAATACCATAGGCATCGGAACCGACGGGAGGCTAGGGGGCTTACCCCCCCCCCTTTTTTTTGCCAAGTTTGCCAAGATAGACATAATATAGGCATTGAACATGGGGGTGTAGGTTTAGCCCCCCCCCCCCACTTTCAAGAAGTTCGACCCCCCCCCCCCCCCCCCCCCCACGAAATAGGATTTTTGGATGTTTCGGGACCGCGATGTTTCGGGACCCCGACGTTTCGGGACCTGACAACACGTTTCGGGACTTGGGCCAACACGTTTCGGGACTTGGGTTAACACGTTTCGGGACTTGGGTTAACACGTTTCGGGACTAGAAATAAATTTGTTTGAAACATGAATCAGATTATGCAGTACATGTTTTGCATGAAATATAAGAATTTTAGTAAGCCTATAACACATTAAAATAATGTCGACATAAGAAAAAGAATTCGTATGTGTGCAGTAGTTGGTCAAAATATGTTCCAAAAAGGCTGAGGTACTTCGAACTCTTGAAGAATTTGAATGCTCAATAGGTAGTCTATTTTTTCCTTCAAATAAAGTATTTAGATTTTTAAAAAAAATGAAATATTTAAATCCGCATTATTAATTTTTATTTAGGAATATTTTTTACATATATTTACATGTACATTTATATTTTTTACATATATCCTATGCAAAGGAGCTCAGTCAATATTTTAATCGAATACACAATCATAAAATTATCGAGGTCATTTTTGAAATTTTACAATTCAGAAATTCACATGTATCATGGGATTTATCAAATGTATATATTCCTGATTATTTTCATTTGTAAGCGAAAATAATCGTGTAAAATGCATTTTAATCCCGATTTGAAGCTTGGGTGAATAATATTGTCATCCGTTTTCAAAGCTTAATTCCGACTGACATTAGGAGAGAATAAATACAATGTAAAATAAATATATTTTTTAAATAATTATTTTTTTTTCATTGTTATTTTTCCTTCTCAACTTTGTATTAATATCTGTTACTGCTGTAAAGCTCCTGCATTTATTCTTTAATTATTTTTCCTGTAAATTCAACCATATTCTGTTGCATTTCTCTCTCTCTCTCTCTCTCTCTCTCTCTCTCTCATACACACATATTGTACAAATCCATTAGATTTCCTCTGTATAATTAGAACGTCATTCATTTGTGTGAATCGACATGATTTCTAATTTAACATGTATGTCAATTTCATATATTAGTTTAAGTATTCAAACTTGTTTCCGAATCCTTTTTGATTTTTTGTACTACTTGCCTGTATTTCTGCTTGTCATTTTCAAATAAAATATGGTTTAAACTAAAATAAATATACGAAGGGTGTCCCAGAAAAACGCAAACTTTTAAAATATTTCATAAACTACCTGACCAAAGTTATTTCCAATTTCTAACTACTATATTAACAGTTCATTTCAGCTGTTTATTCCTAAATCCCGTATACCAAATTAATTCAAAAAATCCATTTATTAAAAAAAAATTATACGATATTAGTTACTGGAAGCACAAAACATTTTCTGGCTCATTATAACATTTAAAAGCATTTTTAAGATATTTTCAAAAAAAGATTATGGTATTATTTCTAAAACATTCATGGAATTGATTTAAAACGTTTTAAATCAAAAAAGATACTATAAATATGTCTTATTTGCAAATATTAAATTCATGTTTTGTTTTGAAAATGTTTATAAGACATTCTAGATTTTAAAAAAAATTGATTCCGTTAAGTATATATAGGTCAACTTGAATTTCAAATTTCCACTTGGTCACATTAAATAGATATTATGATGAAATTTAAAATGTTTAAAACATTTTTAAGGTATGTCACTCGTGACATTTTGAAAACGTTTATATTTTTTTTTTTTATGATTGGATATTACTATTATCAATTTTATCTGAATTATTTCATTTACCAATAAATAAAAACAATGAGCAATAATATTTTTCCCACATTTTTACATCATTGTTTTTTTAAAAATAATTTCAAGAGAAACCATGAGACACACAATCTATTTAGTTCTCATTACCGGCGGCGCCTTCAAGTAACTCTTCCCTATGTACAGCATCAGTAGGGATATATGTGACTGTGTGTGATCCTAATTGTTGTTTTAACAATTTTCTGACATGTTGTTTTAAACACATTGGACGGTAGCTGGAGATCACTTGAATAAAAATTATCAATTATCATTTTAAATAAATTTCATCAACGTGAGAAATCTTTTATGATTCAACCCCCCCCCCCAAAAAAAATGTAGTAAAGTTTTACTCGTCTTCGTCTGTTGTGAATAAAATCTTGAAGAATATTTTTTATGACAATATTAAATATACATGTATACAATATACAACTTAATTATATACATGTATAAATAAATTATAATGCGGATTTAGCTTGAAATAATTTTATATTACGTGCTATGTGTGCTTATAAAAACATACTATATCACCTGGCCATAACACAATAATTTGTTGAAATCCCGAAAAATTTAACCTAAGTCCCGAACCGTCTTTACCCAAGTCCCGAACCGTCTTGTCGCTAGTCCCGAAACGTCGTATTAGTTAGTCCCGAAACGTCGGGGTCCCGAAACATCGTGCACCCACCAAAGGTCAAACGGCGCATTCGGCGTACGCCGGATTGACAAATGAAGTCCCACCAAGGTCTTACGCCGGGTTGACCCCAGATTGACCCCGCAAAGGGGTCACATATACTTTTTGACAATGAATCTATGGAGCAAATTAAAAAAAAAAATTAAATAAAATGGGATGAATAAATAATTTTTGGGACCCCCCTCCTCCAAAAAAAAAAAAGAAGAAAAAAAAAAAGAAAATTCACAGTCATTTTCATTAAGTCGCTGGACCTACTTATATTTTGCAAAAAAGTAGCACTGTCAATAGATACACCACTGAGTAAAAAAAAAAAAAAGGAATCATATGCATATTTTATTGTTTGTATTAACACATAGTTGGTTTTTCGATCGGGATCGGCATGCCCTGTTTACAAATGTAAAAAATAAATATTTATTGTCGTCAAGCAAGACAGGGCATGCGCTTTGACTCTCAATCAAGCCTCTCTAGTTTTATGATACCTTTTCTTTCGAAGTATTATATTTATTGATGTATTGTTTTATATAAAATCAAGCGTAGAGAAACTCTTCTGAGGTGACTAGAAACGCGCACCTGCGAAATATGAGAGCCTTTTTGAGAGGTCACGATGGAAGTGACCATCAAGTTTTGCCCAAGCTAACGACCGTGGGTTGTGATGGATGTGATGTATTAATAAAGGTACGTGGATTTATTTCACATCTTGTAACACCAAGTTTCAACGTATTTACCAAGAAAATGATACTATAGAATAACATTAGGCCTAAAGTTGAGTTCAAATTAATATTTTACTGCATATAACTATTATTAAATTGTGAAAAAAGGAAAGCACAGCACAAAGTAATGACATTTTATGATTCCAAGATATCGAATATGGTTCCAATAAGTATATGCTGATATATTTTACATGTTATACATGTATGAACTGTATATGTCTCTGATTTTTTATTTACAGACTGGTGGTGTAGATATGCAACATGCAGTTATTGAATACAATGATCAGGAAAACGTATATGTATTAAAAGATTTGAATACTGCACAAGGCACATATGTTAATGACTGTCGCATTCAAAATGCTGCAATAAGACTAGCCCCAGGAGACCAGATAAAATTTGGATACATGGGGACATTATATGAATTTGTAGTTGATAGTCAACAAAATGTAAGTTACAGTTGATAAGTAAATTATTTCATGACAACTGTCTCAAGGTTAAAACAACTGACAAAATAAATTCATTTGTGCATTATCATAATGAAATATTTAATTATTTCTTTAAGTACATAACATTTGTTTAAAATGTAGTTCTTATAATTAGTACAGTATAAATTGCATATTTGGAACTCCTTTTTGCCAATGGGTAGAATTCTCTTTAACCCAGTTCTATTTAAGGAAGTTTTATTGTAATTTTCAGCATTTTATCAAACATTTAGACATCAGTCAGTTATGATATAAAAGAAACTTAAAAATTGTGAAAGACAAGAGCCTCATTGCTTAAATTTTTGTCAACATAATTTACTCTGTCCAGGTCTCCTGTCCACCAGTTCACACTCAGCAAACCTGGAATCAGCCATTGACATTGCTCCAAGAGGTGACCAATGAACAATCCATGCTAGGTCAACCCCAGCAAATGTCCTACACAGCACAACAAGGACAGATTTTTAACACTACTTCAACACTGCCATTCCTACAAACTGGAACTGCCACATTTACAATTCCTTCCACTGTGTGGACCCCCTCAGACCGCAATACTTTACCCCGTCCCCCAATTTCCATGAGAGGAAGACCATTAAGTGCTGGGTCAGCTCGCAGAGTTCAGACAGTGGGAGGGACCCCAGTTCCTTCACCTGCTCCATCAATGCCACAAAGTAAGAATATAAATACATATCCATCTCATAATGATGCATACATTGTAATCTTTGTATTTTTTTTTTTATAAAACCTAGGATAAGGAACTTCATAAAGAACTGTAGACAGAGTAACTCATCAGTGATACATGTTGATTTAATAGGTGTAAGAAATGGTTGGGTAAATGCCAATTCTGGAAGACAACAAGTGAATCAGAATGTAGACATCAGCAAGATCCAAGAAAAGGTAGGCATCTACATGTCTCTTCTACAAATTGTTTCCACAATCCAACATAACTATGATCTGTTTTGGAGTATTGGGTTCATATATATATTTCTGAAAAAGTAATTACAGTAAAACTCGGTCAAAGTGAAGTCTTAGGGAACTGTGAATTTACTTTGCTATATCCTTAACTTGTTATATTAGTATAACAAATTTCTTAAAATATATCTAGGGAATGGGCGAAAATAAAACAGGGGCGACAATTTCCCTGTATACAGTATTTAAAATTTTGTGATCTTCAAGAATTCAATATAAAAGATGTAGACTTACAAAAAAATTTTGCTTTATCAATAAATTGGCTATACATGTACATGTATGCATTTTCTTACTATATGAGTTTAACTATAGTAAACACTTTATATAATTGAAAGAATTCTCTTTAGGAACAAAAAATAATGCAGCTCAATGGAGAAGTAGGAAGACTAAGAGAAGTAGAAATGGAATCCTTCCGTAAAGACGCCTATATCCAAACACTACAGCAGATGGTGCATGATTTGAAATCCAAGTTTGCCGAGCAGCAGCCCCTGATAATGGGACAGGATGTTAATCTGACACAGAAGATTTGTCAGTTAGAGAATGAAGTCACTACTAAAGAACAGGAACTGAATGCAGTCAAAGAACAGGTACCCAGGCTCAGACAACGCACATGACCAAATTTCTATAAATAAGCATCAATGCTATAATTGCAGATGTGTTATTACTGGTATAAGGAATGCAAATTAGAAAAAAACATAAACTTAAGTTGAGTTTACTAAATTATTTTTTATTTGATATACACAAAAAAAAAACAAAAAAAATTTAAAAATGTAACGAGGTTATTAACACATTTTTGGCAATAAATGTTTGTAATTGATTATTTTGTGATTGTAGCTGAGTAGCTTACAGTTTCAACAGCAGCCATCATCAACAACAGTATTGGAGACAGATAATAAAGAGACCAATCAAATGAAGATTGAGTTAGAGAGAGCCAAGAAAGAAAGAAACATCACCTCTGGCCTCGTTACACAAATGCAGAAAGATATGGCTAACAAGGTCTGAACTCAAATTATTTTATTCAGTTGGTAAAATTATTCATAAATCTGTGACAGTCTATGAAAATGTTCTGTAATATTTTAGAGGAGTCAATATGCAAACCCAAAACTTTTGTAGAAATATCAGTATTTCTGTTTTTAGGATACCACTATTAGTAAACTCACACGTGAGATTGAGATGTTGAGGAAGGAAGTTCGGGAACGAGACATACAAATTTCTTCTGTTTCCAATAAGGTCAGTGATCTTTTATTATTGGTTATTTTTGCATTTAAAAAAGGCAGTTTATTTGTTAATATTCAATGTCTAATGCTCAACAAAGATTGTATCTTTGGACCTTTAGAACTCACGCTCATAATTAATTATGTTGCATGATTGAAAAAGTAAAGAGATGTAAATGTCAACAGTTTACTTATACTATATTCCAGCTTTCGAAGTCTAAAGAAACTCCACTGAAATCCACAGAAGATAGAGATGCTCGTGAGAAGGAACTTATTAGCCTTCGACAGGTAGGACAAATCTAATTCATTTCTACTATCTTCTGAAAATTTCTTTAGTTAAAATATGGGGATATTGGTTATTTGTATGACTTACACTCATTTTCATTCATTGCATGCTGTAGAACACATCTGTATATCTGTGCATAAGAAGATTTTTTTTTTATATGAGGGTTCCTTTTTAACACCAAACACATCAATCCATACAGACCTTGAAATGTTTTACTTCACCATTTCTGCGTTCACTGACTGTGCGCTATTCCTTCACGTCTTGCGCTGTTCCCTCACGTCTTGTGCTCTCCCTTCACATTTAGCGCTCTTCTGTCACATTTTGCGCTTGTCCTTCACATCTTCTGGTTTCTTTTTATTTGTGCGCAACATTACAAAGATTGAGATAGGTGCAGTCATGATCCCACATCAAAATACAGGTGCTCTATAATAATCACTATGTTCATCCATTTGTTAAATGGTCATCCATTCCTTACCGATCAAAGGTCAAAATGTTGACCATGAGATTGATAATCGGGTACTTTTAATTCTTCAGACTTAGATTTACTACATCGAAATTTGCATGGTTACATATAGTTCGTCAAGCCAGTCAGAAAAAAAGGTCAAGGTCAGGGTGTCAAGGACATCAATATTACCATTTCAAATACCAGTAATTACAATGCTGTAACTTAATTAGGTTTGTTTTTTTAACTTGCAGACTTTATATTTACTGTATAGGTTAGGGTGGTTTGAGGAAAACACATATACATTTTGAGGCCAATCAATCAAAGATCAAGATATTATTGATTTTTCTGCTTTTGAACACATTTTTATGTGACACAGTGTTGAGATAATTTCCACCTTCATAATTTATATTCAGTATAAGGGTCACAAATTGTTAAAAGAGATACCCAAGCATTTTGAGAATGCTTGGTTAAAGGTCAAGATATTTATAGGAGTACACATAACCTGTATGACTTTGTCAGTTTTCTACATTATATGAAAAAAATTAGCTTTTGATCAAAGATTAGAATATATGCTGTATAAATCTGTATATAAGTTTAACAGTTTGCGATACTGCATTCTCTATGACCCTGCCCATGGTTATGGCCTGCTTTGCTGTTCGCTTAGAAGCTTTCATTTTGCGCCCATTCATGAGTGGCAAAGTAGAACATTTCGACAATGGAATAATTTTTGTAATACAATTTTATTTTCTTCAACCTCTTCAGTAAGATACAATACATGTCTCCAAAACTGTATATTATATGTACATGTTTTTCAAACTTTGAAGGTGTTAACTAATTCTTATCTAGTAGTTGCAGAGAAATATCTATACATATATTTTCTTTATACCTCCTTCATAGATGTGGATGGGATATAACTAATTAATTTTATGCCTTAATAAGTACTGGTTAAATGTTCTTTTACAAACTTTAAAATAAATTTTAAGCATGCTTTTTTGTAGTGTATCCTTTTTCATGCACAATTACACATATCTTTCACTCTATGTATATATTCATTTAATATCAGGACTTAGATTATTTTGAGGTAAGTGTCTTGTAGCATCCACTAATTTTATTTTGATTATTAATGTCCAGCAGCTACCGGTATAGTCCATGAGCATGTTCCAAAACCTGAATTACAGTTATCATAATTAGCTGTTTATATATCAATATACTTAGCTATTTATGTAATATCATATATATATGTTTAATATTTAATTGTATCTTACCAAATATAATATATATAAAGGCATTAATTCTTTTAATTTGAATATCCGTCTATGTGTTAACTCTAATTAAAAGTTACGAGCATGAAAATTTGTAAATTAAATTAGTATTATTGTCCTGACATTAGTATATTAATTGTGTTAATATGGATTATTTATTTATATATATTTTATGGACCATTATCTTAAACTTTTGCTTGGAGTTTCTTTCAAATTAATCAACCTGATAATAACAGCCTTTCTATATCACATTAATTAAAAAGTATTAATCAAGACACTGCAATAATATGAGAAGTACAGTGTAATAAAGTTGATAATAAGCAATCTCCATCAATTGTTAGTGTGATGATGTAAGTATACAAAGCTTGTATGATTTGAATACATATATACCCACTTAAAGCCAGTGGATATAGACCAAAATATGTATTGCTGCTTACTCCTAAAATGAAATTGGCCATTGTTGTTAAAAATCATTGTCTATAAATCACAATGACCTTCAGAAAATGGAATTTGATTTATCTTTTTTGCCTTATATGCAATGCAGGTGTTTTAAAATGTATGTGCAGCATTAAAGAGTTCTTGAATGGGATTAAAGGAATTACTTGTACAATGATTGAGATACTGTTTGAACTAATGGGGTTCTGCCAGATTTCTGTAGAGGTTGTTTAGACTGTCACAATGCAGTGTATTTATTGCTAGATAAAATTCTTAGGGGGGATAAATGAGTAAAAATCTGGCTAACATTTTTTTTTCTTTTTTTTTCTTTTACTCTTTTAACTTTATCATTGCCAGATTTCTTATGTTTTCTTTTTTTATTATTATTTTGAAGATTTGATCAAGTTTTTTGACAGAAAAGTTTATAGACATAAATTCTTAGCTGTATTATTTCCATTAATGAATTTAATGAAACTAGATGATGGTTGTATATATCACCATTAGGTTCCTGCACAGATTAAAGATCACACAAATAAAATTTACTGGTACTTGCACTAAGTAACATTAACTTGATGTAAATGTTTGATAAGTTTTATCAGATATGCCTTTAGCATTGATGGAGAATTTTTTTTTCTAATTCAGCATAAAACTAAATAAATATTTGAGTACATTAACTGTTGATAAATGTATTAAGATATGAATGTAAATCAGACTATTTTGGCATGAAAAGTTACGTACCAGTATGTACAAAAACCTTACATTTCAACTCTCCTTTCAGAAATTCAAAACTGCAGAAAACAAAATGCAGGAACAGCAAGAGTTAATTAACACACTGAAACAAGAATTAGAAAAATCAAAAGTCAGTATCTTTGATGAGAAAAGCCAGCAGAAGAAACTTGAGACTCAGATTGACCAGCTTAAGTCCGAGCTGTCTGACGTCCAGCGGACAGAGCGAGTGGTCAGAATTGACCTGGAGCAGGCCACCAAAAGGGTACTAGAATGTTTCTGTAGCTACACTTTAATTCCCCTGAACTCAAATTGGCCAATGAGAGTATATAGTTACAATTAATATAAAGCAACACTTTCCCATTCTAACTTAGTTTATGTACAAGTAGCTACACTTTCCCATTGTAATTAGTTAATATAGCTTCACTTTTCCCTTGTATTAACTTGTGAACTGATTTATTTCAATACGATTAATTACAATGAGTTTATCAGTGCTACCTGAAATTGCATGACATTCATATCAGAGTAGACAAGTAGGGATCACATTTGTTTTTAAAACTTTTGTTGTCACCTGCAAAACAATATTTTACCTTTAAAGACAGTTAGTTCATTAAGTGTTGTGTGGATTTAAGAATCTGAGGATATCAGTATACATTGGTTTTTCTATCTTATCATTGAAAATTTGAAATAAGTTACATTGTTTTAAGTGAATCTGTTAAAATTTTTGTAGCTGGAGAGATTCAGAAACAGAGTTGTTCAGGCCGCCTACTCATCAGGGTCAGCTAAGGCTCCAGAAGGGGAGATAACTGATGATCAGCTGGTGGAGACCTTGAAGAAGTTGGTGGAGGAAAGAACAGAGTTTGATGCCAAGGTCAAAGAAATGGAAAAACAGCTAAAACTCACTGACAGTAGCAGCAATGTGTTTAAACGCAACATCACCAAACTACGTACAGATCTGGAAAAATCAATTGTGAGTTATGCCCTTTTTTTGATAATTCTTATTTTAAATTATTCAATAATTCTCAACATAAGAAAAAATAGAAATGGATATCTTGGATAAAAACAATATTTGTTTTTACATGTGTTAAAATACACAAATATGGATCAAAATCAAAAAGAAAAAAATCTGACATATTCTTTGATCAATTATTTCTATTTTGCAGGAAAATTTAAAGACAAATGGATTCCTGGTGACTAGCCTGAAGCATGAAATGGACTTGTTACAGTCAGTGACAGGAGATGAATCTATTTTGTGGATGAGAGACTGCCTTCTTCAGCTTCTGACCCATGTCTCAGCATGGGAGAAGGATATAGAGACATCTCTACAGACATGTGGCATCAACATCAACCTCTCTAACGATGGTAGGAACATCTCTATTTTAATGTTCTATAACAGTAATTCTCTCTCTCCTGCAGCAATTTTTTATTTTTTCAGATAAATTTGTGTTAGAATTGAATTTTGAACTGATCATAAAAATGTCTGTAAATTAAATCTGATCTTGTCTAGCTGTGTGTAATGAAACGTTTGTAGGCATATAATTCGATAATTGTTAATGGTGTCTATAACTCTGATTTTAGGTCCAGGAAAGCATATTGTAAGCTTGCATTCTAAGTTAGAAGTTGTACAGAAAGAAAAAGAGAATTTAGCAGCTAAGTTGGCAAACACAGAACAACAGTTTAAGTCAGAGCTGGAGATGAAGATTCAGGTCATGAAGGAGGAAAATGAGAATATAGTGAAGGATGCAATAGAGAAAACCAGGGCAGAGGGTGAGTTTTATTTTTTATAATCTAGCTTTGATTTTGAATCTCATCTGTCATTTTAGGAAAGGATTGGCTTATTTGATCCAATTTGTGTGTGTTTATATTGAAAATACATTTCCCGCAATGTATTATCTGTATTCAATATTTTTTTGATATGTTCATGCACTTCTTATTCATATAAAGCAACTTATTTGAATGCATGTACATTTTTTTTTCAAAGTAATGTATGAATTTGAATAAGATTTTTAAAATTGGTTATAAAACATGTGGATAATTATAAATGAACTTTTTTTGTCAGGTGAGGAGAAATTAAACAAGGCAATAGAAGAATTGAAGTTTGTAGAGGCAGAGAAGAGAGAGAATGCAATAGCTGGTGAACAGAAGAAAATAGAGGAACTGCAGGCAACAATTGAACAACTTAGAGAGGTAAGTCATATAGTAACCTGTGAACAATTTAGAGAGGTAAGTCATATAGTAACCTGTGAACAACTTAGAGAGGTAAGTCATATAGTAAACTGTGAACAACTTAGAGAGGTAAGTCATATAGTAAACTGTGAACAACTTAGAGACTAAAGTCAGATAGAAACCAGTGAAGAGCTTAGAGACTTAAGTCAGGTAGAACCAGGTAAGTCATTTAGTAAACAGTGAACAACTTAAGAAATAAGTCAGGTAGTAACCAATCAATGAAAACTTGTACAGGTAAGTCAGATAGTAACCAGTGAACAACTTAAAGACAGAAGTCAAAAATATTAACTGATGATCAATTAGAGACTTAACTCAGATACTAACCTGTGAACAACTTAGAGAGATGAGGTCAGATGGTTATAATTGTGAAATTAAGTCACAATGTCATTAACTGAAAAGCTAGAAAAGGAAATTAGATTAATATCAAATAATGTAGATTGTTCAATGAAAGTCACAATAAACAAAATTTGAATGGTAAGTCTCAAAATGTAAGTCAGGTGGTTATCATTAACAAAGTAGATGCTGATATTTCTTGAAATGGTTGAAGTGGGAAATCAGTTTCAGTTAGCATCATTCTAATGTACCTTAATTAAAGAGCATTGGTGTACATAAGATCTGTGCATCTTAGGCTTTTAAAGCTTGCATTACCTTGCTTTTCCACTTTTTATAGCTTAATATTCATGAAGCATGAAAAATAATCTCAAATGTTTGTTACAGAGTCTTCAGGAGAAACAGAGAGAATTTGAGGAGAGGTTACAAGAAGCAACTACAACCATCCAACAAATCGATGAATACAAAGCAGTACAGCTTGAATTGGAGGCCAAGATACAGGCCTTAGAGACAGAAAAACTGGAGCTCAATGCCCAACTCTCTACAGAGGCCCAAGACAGGGATAAAAAGTATGAACAGGACATTGAGGCCTTCAAGGAGCAAAACAAGCAGCATTCAGTCACCATCTGTGCAATGGAAGAAAGGTTGATCAAGCTGATGAAAAAGAACAAAGATTATCAGGAAGAAATCACAGTCCTGAAGAAAACTATTCAAGGTATGGGTATTTGGTTTTAGGAAAGGCGTTAAATAAACTAAGCACACAAACAAAGAAAACTACACACATCAAATCAGCTGTTTTTAATGTATAAGCTATTATAAAATAATTTTAAGACTTTAGATATAAGTGTACAAAGGAGATGTGACAAAATGAGTAAACTGTTCAAAAAAGTGCATGTAGTACTAACAAATTTTCCCTTAAGTTTTTTTTAGCTCACCTCGACGAAGTCGAGATGAGCTTATGCTATACCCCGGCATCGGTGTCGGCGTTAGTGTCGGCGATCCGGTTAAAGTTTTAGGAGCAAGTCCATTCCCAAGTAACTATAAGCCCTACCTGGACCAAACTTGCATGGATGATGCATCTAGGGATGGACACTACCACACTTGCTTCGGATGCTGGATTTGACCTAGATTTTCCAGTTGAGTGACCAGGTTAAAGTTTTTGGAGCAGGTCCATTCCCAAGTAACTATTAGCCCTACCTGGACCAAACTTGCATGGATGATGCATCTAGGGATGGGCACTACCACACTTGCTTCGGATGCTGGATCCGATCTAGATTTTCCAGTTGAGTGACCAGGTTAAAGTTTTTGGAGCAGGTCCATTCCCAAGTAATTATAAGCCCTAACTGGACCGAACTTGCATGGATGATGGATCTAGGGATGGACACTATCACACTTGCTTCGGATGCTGGATCTGACCTACATTTTCCAGATGAGTGACCAGGTTAAAGTTTTTGGAACAGGTCGATTCCCAAGTAACTATAAGCCCTACCTGGACCAAACTTGCATGGATGATGCATCTAGGGATGGACACTACCACACTTGCTTCGGATGCTGGATCTTACCTAGATTTTCCAGATGAGTGACCAGGTTAAAGTTTTTGGAGCAGGTCCATACCCAAGTAACTATTGGCCTTACCTGGACCAAACTTGCATGGATGATGGGTCTAGGGATGGACACTACCACACTTGCTTCGGATGCTGGATCTTACCTAGATTTTCCAGATGAGTGACCAGGTTAAAGTTTTTGGAGCAGGTCCATACCCAAGTAACTATTGGCCCTACCTGGACCAAACTTGCATGGATGATGGATCTAGGGATGGACACTACCACACATGCTTCGGATGCTGGATCTGATCTAGATTTTCCAGATGAGTGACCAGGTTAAAGTTTTTGGAGCAGGTCCATTCCCAAGTAACTATAAGCTCTACCTTGAACAAACTTGCATGGATGATGCATCTAGGGATGGGCACTACCACACACATGCTTCGGATGCTGGATTCGACCTAGATTTTCCACATGAGTGAATTTAAGCCATATTTTAACCAAATTAGCATGGATGATGTAGCTAGGGATGGTCACTTCCAGACTTGCTTTGGATTCTGAATCTGACCTACATTTTCCAGATGAGTGACCAGGATAATTTTTTTGGAGTAGCTATATAAGATTATGGCCTGTTATGATTAAACTTGCATAGATGGTGCATCTAAGGATGAAAACTTCCAGACTTACTTTGGATGTTGGAACTGACCAAAATTTTCTTGATTAGTAAACAGGATAAACGTTTTTTGAACAGGTCTATTTCCAAGTAACTATAAGTCGTACTTAAACCAAAATTGCATGGACATCGATCTTGGGATGTACACTAAATAAAAAAAAATATGATGTGAAATTTGCCGTACTTAAAGATAACATTCGTCGAGGTGAGCTTTGTAATCTTTGATTACCTATGTTTTCTGATTCTGTTTGTTTTCTTTCATTACTGTAGAAATGAAGGCAGAGATGATACAATTAAAGGATAAGGCAGCAGTTGCAGCCCAAACCAAACCAGTGCCTCCTCCCAAGCCAAAGGTCATTGTACAGAAACCCTCCGAGGACTATGTAGCAATGGAGCAACTTGTAGTGGTGTTGAGGTAAGATTCTTCAAGGGAGACAACTGGCATATATATCAGCTAAATAAAGTGTAAGAAAAATATCACTGACAAGCCTCATCATTAGCCAATTTTTATATTATGTACCATTAATTTATCTTTAAGAAATTTATTTTCTTCTTTGTTTTCAGGAAGGAGAATAGTGATTTGAAGAACACAATTCAGAGTCGAGACGATGTGATTTTGGGTCTGAGGAGGGATCTTGCTGGAGCTCATGCCAGACTCTCTGATATTACAGGTAAATCTATAATATTGACATTTATCAAAATCATAGCATTATAACACAGACTATAACTAAAAGTATGTTCAGCCAAAAAAAAAATTAAATCTGATTTCTAGGGAGATGAATACTTTATTTGTGGAATTGATACGCTTCTTTGTAATTATAAGGTGAACTGAGTGAAAACCAGAAACAAGAGATGGAGAAATATAAGGAGAAGTTAACACAGAGGGAGAGAGAGATAGAGGGATTAAGACAGCAGATGGCCAAGTTATCTAAAATCATCGACAAACAGAAGGACGAAATCAAGACATTACAGAAACAACTCAGGTCAGTATCAGCTTTTAAGTTTTATTTACATTCCAAATTAAATCTGCTATATGTTCCTTATTAAAAAAGAAATGTTATATTTCCCAATTCTAATATCTCCCCCTTCCAAATATAAATATCTTACTATTATAATGCTATTCCAAAAATGATGATATTCATGTCTTTCAAAAAAATACTGTACTGTAATATTTTGTCATTATGAAATACATGTACATGTATGCACTTCTCACTTCATGACATCAAAGACTCTACATATATCATTAGATGAGACTTGTTTGTTTTTACCAGCACAATAAATTATCCTAATAAACTTCAGAAAAGGACCATTTAAATGTTTTGTATTCTTTAAAGAAGACTTAACAAATTATAACAGATTGTTCACTATGTAGAACTGCAACCAATATTGCATTGTTCAACAATCAACAATCATGTAAATTAAAATCATTGTGTATTAAAAGGTTTATAAATAGGACTGCCAGTATTTTAAAAAATATCAATGTTGTGGAAATTTAAATGCCCTAGATATCTTATGAATGCATACTGTTGAAAATATATTAAAGATTTCAATGATACAATACAAAACAAATCAATAGGCTTATTGACTTAGGATCATACTTTTTGTGATATTTAATTAGTTACACCTAGGTGTTTAGCATGTAAAACACAGTTTTCTTTCTCCTCTTTACAATGGATTTTTGTATATAATTCCTACTGGATAACAGATATAAGAACTCTGTTGGAGAAATATTAATTGAGAATGTGGTACACTTAATAGTGAGGAGAAGGCCATTGCCATCAAATTCCAATCCAACATGGATGAGAAGAACAGAAGAATCAAAGAACTGGAATTAGATGTGGAACGAGAGAGATTAGAGCAGAAGAAACAACTGGATATCCTTGATCAGGAGGTAAGCCAGATCCAGTTATCTAAATGTTAATCAGTATTCCAAAACATAACCAAGTGGTATTAAATAAGGTATTGTCATACTTAGTAAGATTTTGTAAAACCATGGCAAAGAACAAGGTACAGTGAGGAGAAAATCTGGCCCATTATCTGACAGAAATGATGATAGTTTGTGGTGAAAGTCTTGATAAAACTTTTGTCATTGTAATCCTTCCCCATACAACTGGAAGCTGGATCCACTCCTAATCCCTTAAGATCAATACTCAGTTTGAAGTGGATGTATCTGCAGGTGTAAAACCATGATTTATTGGATTTTTTTTTTTTTAGCTAAGATGGAACTACAAAGTGCACTTATCTTACTTTGTTCTTTTTATACATACATGTCTATGCAAGACATATTTATTGCATAATTTTTCTAAACTATGGTGGAGGATAAGTCTTGTTTTAAAATAAGAATTTTTGTTTGAAGACTCTTTAAGAAGATGTTGAATCTGTTTTACAGGGCAGGATAACCTCTGAGCTAACAGCCCTTGGGGCTCAATGCCGAGGGGAGAGGCATGAACAGGTCATTGCTCGACAGAGAGAGGCGTTGGCTGAACTCAGACACAGGTGTAAAAACCTAGAACAAGCCAAACCACCTTGTAAGTTAGAATTTTTTTTTAATCTTCTATATGTGAATAATGTAGAATGTCCATCTGAAAAGTAAAATGAAAATTTTCTGTAATTATGACTATTTTTGAACAGAAAATGGAGATAAAATTTAAGCTTCATTGACCCTCTTATAAGAGAGATAACTCTTGCAAGGATACATGATTATTATTCTTTTGTTGTCAAGTTAAAAGGCCATTTCTTTCAAATTTGGCCCCAAAGTAATGCTGAAAATATGTGCCTTTTTATAGTGAATTAGATTTCTTTTGGAAAATCAATCCCATTGAATTAAATCTTTAAATGAGTAAACAGAGTGATGATGACACATAAAAAAATTCAGTGTACCATGCAAGGCAAAATATGAGGAAAAAACAAACAAAACAGTGATTTATCTATTTAGAGTTATCTCTCTTAGCATACAGTACCTCCTTTAATGAACTACAAACAAACAAACAACCCCCCCCCCCCCCCCCAAAAAAAAAAAAAAAAACTAAACTAAAAACTATCATGTTTCAGTTGATAATAGAAAAAGGTATTGAGGTATCAGTTCAGTAGTAAGAGATAACAATTTTTTGCAGTGCCAACCCAGGATCAAGCCCTACAGCAAGTGATTATGCTGAAGAAAGAGCTCGCCGAGATCAAAGCCAATCAGGCACTCTCAGAAAATAGCGAGCTGTCCTCTGGGCTTGAGAGGGAAGTCTCCAGAGCGAGGGGGATGCTAGGATCTGTCAACGCCGAGGCAGATATGGAGAGGAGTGCTCACAGGGAAACTATGGATGCCTTGGATGCCAGTGAGAGCTCAGTAAGTTACACAAAGTTGCTTTGCATAAAAGTTAGGAAGGCAAAGGTAGTGTATATGGAATGTAAAAAAAAAAACAAATAATAATGAAAAAAAATACATTGGCATTATCATACATCAAGAAATGAACTTATAATTTCCTATAATGCAAAGGAATTACAATTCATTAGGTCATAACAAAAGTACTTGTTTTCTTCATTCAAGAAATATCTTAAGCAGCCATGTTGAATATCTGTAAAGTAAGTCATGGAGTAATTTTTGCTTCTATTTCAGTATATAACATTACTGAGGGCAATGGCCAGTTGTCTAGAGATGGAGTCAGTTGATGGACTTCGTCCTATTGGTCACATTCCTAAAGATGAGCGAGACAGACTATTGGTGGAGAGAGAGAACACCTGTCAGATTCTAGCCAATAGAATCAAAGTCTTACAGGAGAGAATTGCCAGGAAGGAGGAGCTACTGCAGGGATATGAGAGAGATTTGGCAAAACTGAGGTAGAGAATATAAAACCCTTCCAAGCTTTTTAGATGTTGATTGGTTGGTTTGATGTGAAATTGTACACTGAGTTTATCTCTGCCAACATGTAACAACTACAGTCTTGTTTGAACGTCTATGGAACAGCTTCCATAGCCATATCCTCTTTGTTTTGAAGAAATTTGAAATAACTGGGCTTGGAAGAAAAGTATTCATACAAAGTAATTTACAGTGAACTATTCCTTATGCAATGCCCTGCCTAAATACATGTAAATACTGTATACAGGGAAATTTTCGCCTCCGTTTTAATTTCGCCCCTTTCTCCCTACCCTCATTTGGGCGAATTTAAAACGGGGCGAATTCAAAGAATACAGTATAATTTCTTAAACAAAACTATGAATGGGCGAATTTAAAACGGGGCAAAATTGTTTGCATGTGTGAAAGGGCGAAAATAATACGGGGCGAAAATAACCCTGTATACAGTATAGTTGATTTTCAGTATTTTGAACATCCATATTTCAATTATCAAGGATGTCGGGAGTCCTAACCACTTCTATTTTGGTATATGAACCTTGATATCTCAAACCTTTGGAAATCTTGAAGTTTTAGCTTGGTCACATCAATTTCTAGATAATGAAGTTTGACTGTATTTATCAATACACGTATAATCATTAACTTAGAATGTCAAAAAGTCTATGCATATTTGATTAAATTCATCATGACCCTGCAGGCTTATACATGTTTTTAGCATAGTACATTAGAAATAACAGGTTTATTTTTAACATGGACAAAAATTTCCTGGATTCATGAGGAATCTGCACTTCAAACAAGGACATATTTGTGATTGCAATTAGAGGCAATACATGTGCATTTGAAGTGCACAAGTCTTCTTCAATTGTGCATTTACATTGATTCTGTGCATCAAATTTGACTGAATTTCCTGTAATAATAAATTTTAATAGTTTATATCTAACATTTTGAAGCACATGTACCATGTGTACCATGAGAACATTAAAGGAAATGAATGCGAGGGATAATTAAATCTTAGCTTGAAGTGGATTTCTACGTGTTTCTCGGTTGGGTCTTGATATTTATTCATTTAAGGAAGATCTTTAGGATCAAGGTCCACTTCATCAGCATGTGGTTTCCTGAAATTTCTGTATTAAACATAAAACATGAAAATGAATAGTTACGAGTGGGAATTGAACTTTTAATGTGATAAATATTGGCCATATGATTGTAGACAGGAAATATCATGTAACTATTTCTTTCCTTTATTTTAGACAAGCCCAGGAACTAGCCAACAGAAACTCCAAACAAGTGGATAATCTAGCAGTAAGGATCCATTATAAATAGAAAGCACTAATCTTATCATCAGTAAAAAGAACTTAAAAAATATTGATTGTTGAGGTTCAGCAGCAATTAAATTGAATTGGGAAAAGTATCTATAATGCAAAATGAGCTCTTCCTATCAAAACTTTTCCACTTATTCAAGAAATAATTGATTCTTGAACACATTTAGTATACATAGCACTTAAATTACAGAATGATGTTAAGAGTAGAACAGAAGAAACTCAGTATCTGAGGGAGTCATTGAGTCGGACTCGAGATCGACTCGACCAGGAGAAACGACTCAATAAAGCAATTAAACAACGCAAGGTAGACAAACTACAGTATTATAGATATCTTAAGTAAAACTTAATTGACCTTTTTCAATGCTATCTGAAAAGTAAATTGATAAGGACATTTTGTAGAGTGTTGGTTTATTTTTAGACTTTCCATTTGGAGAACGAGAGAATTCACCAGCAACAAGTCCCAGCTTCTCACCACTGTAAAGAGGAAGATATTTTTGGAAAGGTTGGTATGAATTAAACCAAAGGACTACTTGGTTCATTAATAGTGCAGTATAATTGACCTTCACAACTATAAACAGATTGCACAAAGATATTTTAGTGTTTTAAGTCATATAACACTGGTTTTTTTTTTTTTGTTCAGCTGTGATAGTTCTAAAATTTGATTTTTTTTGTAATTTTCAGAATTCAGCTCGAAGGAAAGCAACTAAGGAAGCACTGAAAAGGAGGAATTATGAAATTAACACACTGAAGAAAGAACTGTGCAGCAAGGAGCAGGCATTGTACGACACTGAAAACAGACTGTATACACTAGAACACAGTATAGTAAGTATGGTTACAAAAAAGCAAACAAAGAAACAAAAAAACAAATGCAAAAAAAAAAAAAAACCAGACACACACACACACACACAACAAAAACTGACAAGTTTTATATTTTTCCATATCAAAAAAAACAAAAACAAAAAACAATGGCATTTTTATTCTCTTGACATGTAATGAGATTTTGTTTTAATTTTCAGGGACTGGAGGGTAAACGGGAACAAGAGATAATTGAGTCTTAGTGTTTAACAATTTGATACAATATTGGCAATTACTCCAGATGTGCATTTAAAGTTTGAGACTAGACATAGATTCCTTTATATAGTGCTATACTATTTGTACTACTGGTACATGCTTTTTATAGTGAGGTAAACCATTTGATGGTATAAAAATAATAAAGGAAAATGTATTTTATACTTTAATGAGCTAATAGGGAAATTCATAGCATAAAATCTTTATATCTAATAGAATGTATAAATGTGTTTCTGATAGAGAATGAACGAAGAATTAGGTTTTTTTCTAGATTCTGTCAATATATAATGTTTTGATTTGAAAATGAAAATGATTTAAAATGCAAGGCATTATGTTCAATTGATTGTATTTTTTTCCCTTTTTAATGTATAATAATTGTATGAAAAGAGGTCTTGTTTCATTTAAAGGACTTTTTATAAAATTTGAAGATCTGAATTATTTGAATATTTACAACATAATTCAGTGAGTTATGATGCCAAATAAAATCAGATCTTACTTTACGTATCTTTATAGAACACAGATATGGCAACTGGTTCATTTTGCTAGTCCATTAGTATTATTAATAATTATGATGTTTTTGTGTGTATGAGTAAATGGACGAGAGAGATATTTTAAACATCTATGTAAGATTAAGCACAGCTGTGATAAGTAGATAACAGGGAGTTATAATTATATATCCGGGTTTGGGTACGTCTACATAGTGAGGTCTCTGATTAGTGAATTCTAATATTTTCTTTCTTCAAAATTGCATTATTTTACATTTTCTTCCAAGGAAATTAGATCAAAATATATATGTAATCAATCTGCATGAACATACATTGACATATTTCTGCATTGATCATATTAAAATATATCAAGAAATAAGAAATATTTGTTAATATTTCAGTCATTTACACTGAAATAATTTTGATTTCGTACTCTTAAGTCCATACTAATTTTTTACTGTTAGGTGTCTTTTTATATACATTTATATATATAATAGTATGCTTTGTTTTTGTTTATGTAGAATTTGTGACATTAGATAAAAATGTCAAAATTGTTGTAATAAATGGAAGTAGAAACGGGTTGCTTTTGTCGTTGTTTTACTTTCAGCATACAAGAGGATTATACTCTGACATTGCTCGAATAAAGTTTCATGCAGATCTGTTGCTCAATGGTTATAACAAATGGGATGGAAGTGAGTTATAAATCATGCAGCTTTTGTGAATAATTTAATGAATGTCAAATATCAGTCATATATCAAAGTTTTTAGCTGTCCACAATATGTCAAGAATTTGAGATATCAAACACTAATATCTGGTTCATATATAATGCATGGTATTTACTCAGCCCACATAGTGAAATAATTATGTTCACTTCTATTAACAAATACACTGTACGTGCTTATTTCCTATCTTAAATTCTTTACAGTTATCGATCACTTCCTTATTTTCTATATTTTACTACTATACTAGAATGTATCCAAGGCAAGACTAACAAGCTCTTAAAAGAATTTACATATATATATATATATATATTTTAGGAATGACTCTAATTCTTGGCCAAATTATTCGAGGATAACCTGGTTTGGGTCAGTTTACGCTTTATAATCCGCGAAGCGGATTATAAAACAGCGTAAACTGACTCAAACCAGGTTATCCTCGAATAATTTGGCCAAGAATTAGAGTCATTCCTTATAATTTAATTCTAAAATCATTAAACAACTGTGGGTGTAAAATTTCGTTGCTTTTTTTTAGTTCAAATTTGCCGCTCAATAATACAACCCTAGTAACGGAAGTGATGGGAAGCGAGGGGAGGTAAAAACTGATACATAGTCCTAGCAGCCATGTTTTTTGTTTACATGTGGTAAGATCCGAGTTACTGTTTGAAGTTAAAGGTACATTTATTAAATCTGGAATTTTCCATGAATCCCGAGGACTGGAAATGAGAGGATTGCATGGATACAGACGATTCAGCTGGTTGTCAGGGGGGTGTGTCCCCATACCAAACCAGGTTATACAGAAATAATTTGTGTTCCTTTTTGGATATTAACCAATCAGAGGCTAGAATACAAACAAAATTAAATTATATATATATATACCTCCAGTCAACCATCAAATGCTGAAGCTGAATTTGTGGTGATGGACTTGATAGATCACCAAAATAAAATTTTTTAAGAGCTTGTAAGTCTTGCCTTCAATACATTCTATTAAAAATAATAATGACGCATAGATAAATGTAAATATACTAACGGTAATGAATATGTTACATTCGGACTAGTAGTATTATTTATTGTTTATGGAATAATTGTGTAGTTTTTTGGTTTTATGATGTGATCAATCAGTTTGCTCGATAAGAATTTGCATTAAAGGCGATTTTTGTATAAAATTATTTTTGCATAAAATTATCACCCAGCAAACTTATTGACCATCATCCTTAAAAAAAGACATTTTTTCCTTATGTTTAGTACATTTTTTATCTGATCCTTGATTGAATAAAACATTTCTTGCGACACACATAGAGAGAAAGCATGGAGTTCTGTCACGTGCTCAGCGGATATAAAGCTATTAATTTATTCGTACGGGTAGTTTTATCTCTGACAAAGAAATGTTGACAAATAACTAACAACTCCCATTACTGCATCTTTTATAATTTCCAATCTGATTCCCGTAACATATCACAGTAATATAAATAGTGTATAGGAAGTTTAAAAATCACATGACATACTGTAAAATCACATATTTTCGTGGAGTCAAATTTTCGTGGTTTGAGAAAAAAAATATGGGTTCGTAGGGATTTTATTTCGTGGATGAAGAATTGTTGAGTAGTAATATATTTGAAAAATTACATTTCGTTTTGGACATGTATTCTTACCTCGAAAACAACGAAAAATAACCCTCACGAAAACAGTAAGACACTAACAATATAACACAAGAAAGATTCAGCATGTTTAAGCTTGCACAGACTATCATTTGCTTCTACTCAACATACGAAAGGTGTGAAATTATCCTTTTTATCCTTTAGTTGTAAGTAAAGATAATTTTTCATAAAAATCCAGAACATCATGAATGAATCTACTTTTTATGTTGATTAGACCTTCATAGTCTTCTTATGTTGATTAGACCTTCATTGTCTTAATGTCATTCATACAGGATACAATTGTATCATGGCTCTCCATCAAAGTACTAGTATGCATCGAAAATACAATATTTGCGTTCTTTCACACTCTTCGTATTAATAATTTACACAGATATAAATATAAACAATAAAATGTGTTTCTTTGTTAAATATACATAAAGATGCAATGATTGAAGAAAAAATAAACTTTATGTAACCTACTTAAACGCGGGTCGAATACTAGTATTTTCTCTGCAACAGTTCATCCGTGTACAAAGAATTTTATTGTTTAGTTAAATTACTCTTCTATAAAGTACAAGCAACAGTATCTTCTCAACTGTTTTTACTTCAGATCAATGGAAAACATCCTTTTAACCATTTGGAAGCCGCTTGACGATTGTATACGATCCACTGCAAAAGATTATTTAAAATCACTAAGTATTATAAGCTTAGTTTGGCTTCATTTCTGCATTTTTCCTTAGATTACCAAAGAGTGCATTTATCATATATATCTATATGTAGATCTTATTTAATTATCATAACTTAAATACTTTGAAAACAATAACCGATTTATTTACCGACTCCGCATTTAAATATCAGACAGTTTAAAGTCAATTTAACTATAAAAACGTGGGGTTATTCAAGTTCAAAACCGGTAAAAAAAATTAATTTGAACATAAATAACAAATATCATTTTCATCTACACTATATCTCGTATATTTAATTTTAAGCTCAGATACACCATATATAGCTTTAAAAATGATGGTGTCCATAAATTCTGAAATTCTAAGGAGGGGTATGCAGTTTTTATGCTGATTCTGAAAGCTGCAAATTTTAGTCAGGATTGAATTTAAATATGGAAATAAAATCGGAATCACTTTCATTTGGTTCTAAAAATAAACTAGTCCCTTATATTTTCCGAGAAAAAAATTATATTTTATAACTATAGTGTCAGATAGATAACATATGGTCCATATTGTTATCAGCTCAACTAAAAAAACGCATTTAATTATTTTAATAGGAACACTTGTCTGATATAGTGAAATGATTATATCACCTAGTTTATGTTTTCTTAGGACTGGGTTGGATCCTCTGATCTCCATTTGACATTGAGTAGATATATCTGGAGATTCTGTCGGACCAACATGTAAATCAGCTTCGCCCGACTTATTACTAGATTTCTTTGACACCCCACGATGACTGATTTTTCGAAAGCGATGTGATCGATTCGACCTCATAGAGTTTGTATCATTTGTGTCCCTTGATGATCGTTGTGATCTTACGGAAGCCGTATCATTTGTATCAAGTGATATATTTCTTTCCGCTAACCTTGAAGGTTGTGTATATGCAGAGTGCATTGAGGAACAACTTGTGCAGTTTGAAGACGTTCGTAGAAAATCCCGCCTTCTTTTGTGTCGTCTGCAAGATGAACAGTAAAGTCGTCCAGGTGTTGAACCAGATGTAGAAGCAGTTGGCGTACTTGGTTGAATTTCAATCCTAGGGGCCTGTGATGGGGCTACACTTGGTTGAGTCTCATATGAAAAATTCCTGTAATAACGAACATCGTCGACATACGACGTTGTATCTGCTGATGATGCAGTAGATGACACCAGTGTTTGTACACTGTCGACTCTTGGAGGAGCTGTAGGGTTTCTGATAATGGGTGCAGCTGCTGTGGGGTTTCTCATTGGTGGAGCAGCTGGTGGAAGCGGATGATTGGTTGGCTCAGATATAGGCGAGGTTGGATCGTTTGGTACACGGAGAGTGTAATTATTTCCACCCCGTGGACGTCTGAAGACGGTGTCATAAACACTGCTCATCTTAATCTTATTTCTGTGATGAAAAGAAAATTTCACGTATGATATACTATATACATGTATCACGTGTATTAGTTATACTCACTTGTAAAATTAAGCAAAATGAGGACGTTTTATTAAAATATTATATACAGCACATATTTCATATTTATATAACTTTTGCTTATATCACTGTAAATGTTCAACATACCTAGAATGTTACTTTAGTAAATTTTACCTCCTGCAGTAAATGAGTCCACCTATACACAGAGACAATGACAGCAAGGCGACCGTTACCGACACAATTGTCCAAACTATTTCCTGTGATCCACCTGAATCTGCAACAACAACAAAAAATACTGTAAACGTATTACATTTGGTTGTGTATTCTATTTAGCGTTTTTTTTTTTGGTGGAAAACAACTTCCGCTTAATCAAGAACATTGCTAAATGTCTTGTATATCTAGAACATTCGGAATGCGCTAAATCAAATTTATGTTAACTCTTTGAAAAATCTGTTTCTTTGCACTTTGAAAACATTCCTCCTTATTTCATTCATCTTAGTTCTAATTTCATACCTTCTTTTTCGTCCTTCATAGGTTCGCTTTCGGAGTCAATTGGATGTGGTATAAAGATGGTTCTGGACGCCTTCTTTTCCTCTCCATATTGTATGGTCGTCACCATGTCTGAATCATCTGTATCTAATTTAGACATTCAAAATTCAATGTATGACCTTCTGAAATAACACTATCAAGTTTTAAAAAAGTATTTAAAGATCTAGTATAATCATTTGTCTTTAAAAAATTAAACTGTAAGCCTTTTTACTGATTTTCTCCCTTTCAAGATACATTTAAACTTTAATATTTTTTTTAAAGTTTCTTCCTGAATCAATTATACCATATCTATAGAACCTAACTCTCCATGATACATTCAACTGCTCAGAGAAAAAAAAAATTCTGAAATAAGTTACTGGGATTGTCAGAAGTTTCTGGAATTTAGACTCTGTTAAATAAATGCTCTTTATGTAACAACAGTATAAAAAATAAATATCAAAAACCTTAGACCGTGTTTTTTGTTTTGGTAATAAAAAAAAATCTTAATTAATTAATTTATTTATTTGCTTGTTTATTTGTGTTTTTCTTTTTTTCCTCATACCACGGAAAAGGAACAGAACCTACATGTTCATTAAATAATTAAAGATAAATTAAATATAAACTCCTCTCAAATACAGTTCGTCGTACTATGCTCGCATAGGGCCTTATGAAACTCGTTGCATCTTGTTTGCATTTTCTGAAATCTGTTTCCAGCTTTTCGCACCATTTGGCATTTGGTTTCTGTAGATCCTTAAGAAGAAAATAGTAATTAAATGATTAATTGAACAAAATCGAAATCTGTTTATCACTGTGTCAATATTTGTATATATCTTATTGCACCACTTTATATTTTACATCATTTTGCATAGGAATTGTAATAACTGAGATATATTGTACAATAAAAAAAATCTTCAATGTTCCACCTCTAATCACAATAAATGAATTGATAATTAATGCAGAAAACATCCATCTTCGCTAGCTTAGGGTTTCTGATCCAGTACTCTCCTCATTGTGAGGAGAGTAGCGGATCAGAAATCCTTGGCTAGCGAAGATGGAAAACATCAGGTATTTCTTTAAATTTTTAAAATTTGTCACCTTCAAGTGCAATTTTGCTGATAATGAATTCTCTTCCTTTCGCAAATTCTTGGAATTCACGTCGTAATTTCGAGATCATGTATGTTGAAGTTATGTTGGAGATGCTATTACAGAAATGCCGGGGTTTTACTGTCACGCCATTTGCTGTAAAAAAAAAAAAAAATAATAAGGAATTTAAAGAAATGAATATTTTTCTTCAGTTTACATTTTATTAAGTTATATAACTTATATAAGTTATTGTGATTTAAAAGGTGAAGATTACGAACAGTGACCAATCTCATAAAACCAACAAGGAATTATACGAATCGTGAACAGGGCATAAACACGGATCTCTGGAAATTCCACAGATGGGATCAGGTGTCCAAGAGGAGTAAGCATCCCCTCTCGACCGGTCACAACCGCCGCAAACCCTCTGTATGACCAAGTAAACGGAGTAATCCATGGTTCAAACTGGTATAAAACAATGGCCTAACAATTGTTGGGAAACATATCAGTCAAAATACGACCCAACGATAGGTGGTATTTGCAAACAAGATTATTATAACCACCATAGAATTTGTGAAATGCTGACTTTGGGGAGACATAAACACCACATGCAAATGATGCAGGTAATTGTGGATTATAACTGCATAAAAAGGGAAAGTTAACGACGAGAAAGCTGAAGTCATCTGATTTGGAAGGTGATACATATGCTTTATCTGTTTAAATTTGCATTTTTGGATATATTTTGCTGGAAAGCATATGCTTTTGGAGAGAAGCATCAATTTAGGACTTTATGGAAACACGCAGTGATCAAATATCATGGTGACAAGGCTTTGGTTTATTACATTAACTTTTTATTACTTGTAATGATATTTTATTTTAATAAATTATATTGTTTGTGAATAAATAAGTCGAAATTGAATATATTGACAAACAATTCATGTTTAATGAAAGGCTACATTGGCCACTCTCGTCGCCTCGAGGGGATAGATTCCATTCACAATAGAGCTAGTACAGCGTATACATATGGCAAATTGTGTTTTACCGGGTGATTTATCGGTGTTCAGTGAATTTGTTTAGGACAGAATCAGTTCATTTCAGACCAAAATGGCGTTTCAAACCGAAGTACGCCATGTTGTGACGTTGTAGAGAGCCCCCCCCCCCTTAAGTATATAAAGTTCAAAACTACGTTGCGTAATCCTTAAGGTATGTCATTCATCACCTTTTGAGAAAAGTTTGGTCAGAACATCAAGCTTCAAAATTATATATTACAATTCAATTTTTATGATATATTTGAATTAAATACTGCACATTATGCAATGTTCAATTTAAAAACTGCTCACAAAATTGCAAAGAAACAAGATTTACGGGGGATCATTTCTTGTGGTGGAATGATATTTAGAAGAAAATTCTTCAAACCTACACATTTGTTTGATTTATCATCTTGGAACTTTAGCCCTATATATTTTTAGTCGAATTTTTTTTAGTAATTATATGCTAGGAATATTTAATACATGTATAGGTTTCAATTAACATTTTTAAAACAAGTTTTACACATTCACTCAACAGACTGTGCCCAAAAATGAAGATATATTTAAGAAGTCGAGATAAAATTTAGATGGGTTTTTTTTTGCCTGAAAATTGCATATTTTGACCAATACCTCACATCACTAGCCGCAACTTTTTCTTTCATTATTTTAAATTACACGATACTCTCAACCGATCAGCACTAAAGTCATCAAAATGCTTGATACAAGAAAATATTTTATTGTATATTTAGATTTTAATACACCAAATATTATTTTAAATGCAGAGGTCTTACAATAATTCACGCGCATTAATTTGCAGGATTTTTTCAATGATAAATATTATTTTCTTTTTTTTTCATACCCTCAGACTATTTTACATGAAATAAGATTATATTTATTGCCATGATCATATATGGTAAAATACGATTTGGCTTAAAATGATTAACCTAAAAGTTACAATTTAAGTGCAAAAAAGTCAAATTACTTGTACCGTAGATCAGTAAGATACACACTGACCATCAATTTTCTTTGCGATTTTGAGTCATGTTATGTAAGTGGTTATCTAATAATATACTTCTCAAAAAAAACGTTGATATAACTCATCTCACGAGTGATATACCTGTACCCTAAATTAAAATACTGAATTGAAAGCCACATCAAGATTTTTTTCCCTTCACTTGTAGAAGTTTTTGAATTAAATGCTGCTTCGTAAGAATATAAAAGTATGTCGGCTTGCAAAAGGAACACAATTAGTGCCCATTGGAATTCCAACAAATTGTTGGAAAACCGGATCTCCATAAACTACATAGATATTGTCAATGAGAAACTCCAGCATCTTAGAGTACATACATGTACTTGTGTGTAGAATCAGAATGATTTTTAACAAATTTATTTTGTAGATGAACAACAACAAGATGTGAAAATTTACGAGTTTCATTTTTTATTGAGGAAACAGTTGTCTAGAATGTCGAAAAGCCTGCTCTTTGACCCATCGCGAAAAATATGTTGCAAAGTTTCTCATTCAGCTTCGATGATGTAATGAATAGAATGCAAAAAAAAAAAAAAATCAAGATTCTCACCCTCCTGACACAGACTGAGGAGGTGACGATGGCTGTTGTACTCTCTGTGTCTTTCTATCACAAGAGGACAAATATCACCTAAATGAAAAAAACAATGCAAATATGTCAACCCCAGAAGACAGTACAGACTTTTATATTCAAAGTGATCAAAAATAACCCCATGGCTTAAAAACCAAGCTTGAATAATCAGTAAGTGTCATTGTGCAAATACAATTTTATGCATCCTTCACAGTAATTCAAAATATAATGTATGGGTTATTTATTCCATTTATTTGGCAGCATTGTTAAAAGAAATAGCTGATCGTTGCATATTGTACCATTTTATTGAAATTAAAGTTCAAATAGGTTAATTCAGAGAGTGCAAAATCTTCAGCTATATCTATATGATGTAAACCGGAATAATCTAACCTCCCCCCCCCCCTCTCTCTCTCTCTGGATAAGGTGGTTGGGAGATAAAAAGAAATGTCGCATTATAACTTATTCCTTATTTAACAGAAGGAAGCTTTCTGTTTTTGTCCTAAAACATTTACTTCTCAGAAAAAATTCTTGATTATCTCATATCTCAACTCATTCAACGAAAGAAACGAAAATAGCTTATAAAAGATATTCATAAATGATATAGAATCCTGAAGACAAATTGATTTCTATGAGGGATGGGGAGTCTTCAACCCTTATAGTCCAAATAGAGATATGTTGATATAAAATAAAGAGTTTAAAAAGTCACTTAGAAAACATTTTTGTAAGTCCTTATAAGATCTTGCCTCGACATCCAAGGTCATAGATCAGGCCGTCCAACCAGAGACTCTCATGGTCCTTTACGGACAATAGATTATAGTGCACGACTGTGTCTGGTATATCACCTGCCAGATGTCTGTAGCCAGTACCCATAAACTCCTTAGTACAAATCGTATCTGCTATACGCCATGTCATTGGGTGCCGTGTTACCAACATCTGCACATTACCACAAGAGGCTAACAAAAAGGAAAATCATTAAATCTGCAGAACATCTTAAAATAATCTTAATTTTGAAATAATTCTGAATACATACCGACTTGTAGAAAGAAGAATGTAATCCAAAATACAAGTTTCATTTTGAAATCTGCTTGAATGTTTCTCTATAAAGTTTGTTCAGGAACAAAAATATATCAACACAAGATAATTACGGAAACTGAGTTAAATTGGATAAGGAAGTTAAGTTTCATTTGATATGAATATTTCAGCGTCTGATACGTATATTTGTCCGAATAATCAACACTATTTATTGTTTCATAGAACTCTGATACTTGAACTTTTTAAAGAATTATCAAAGTTAATTTAACTTAATTTTACTTTTGTAAAATTAAACACTGTGTCAAAGCTGCACTTGCAATATATAAAGTCTTTGTTAGTTGGTACGCGGTTCCACAGACTTCCTCGTTATACTTATCAAGGATTATTTTTTATAAAAGCAATGCCTAGTAGAAAATATATTGTCATTTTTGAATCGTTTAAAAGATCGTTTCAAACAGTTCTGTTTACTGTTTACTTGAATTATATATATTAGAATAGTTTGGAATCTTATTGATATTTCAACTTACCACTACAACCCTTCTTTTAAGTAATGCAAATATTTGTATTGATATATTGAATAATAATTAAACAAACTTGACTTAAGATCCCCTCTGTCTTCCCTATATACCACTTTGGTAGACGTTATGAATATTGTTGTCTATTGCTGAATAAATTTTTACATTTTGTTTTAATTTAAACTATAATGTCGAATATCTTGTCTAAAGAATATTATAACGTAAAAGTCCTAATATTTACCAAATAATGATCGTTTTTAATTTTTGAATAGTAAATGTTGAGAATGACTTTGAAAAAAAAATGTCATGATAACGAACAGTGATAATTCTCAAAAAAATCTACAAACAAAACACATTTGTGAACAGGGCATAAAACACAGACACCCCCCCCCCCCCAAAAAAAAAATTCCAGAGGTAGGATCATGTGCATAGGAGGAGTAAGCATCCCCTGTTGACAGGTCACACCCGCCGTAAGCCCTGTGTATTGATCAGGTAGACGGAACATTCCATAGTCAAAAAAGGCCTAACAATTGGTATGAAACACGTCGGTCGAAATACAACCCAATGATAGGTTATATTTGTTAACAAGGTCGTTATAACGACCATAGAATTTACGAAATGTTGGCTAATCTATCAGTAGCTTGCTTCTCGATTTAAAAAAAATTAATAGTACTCAGAGCAGGCCTTTGAGTATTGTATAAGTTGGGAGACATAAACACCATATGCAAGTGATAGCGGAATATTACTACATAAAAAAAAAAAGGAAAGTTGACGATGGGAAAGCTGATCTTCTCGTTTGTCATACAATTTTGCTTTTATAGTTATCCTTTTTCGTTTATAGTCAGTGAAACATCCAAATATGAAATAGATTTGGCAGAATCTGTGGTGTCTTTAATTTCAAGTTCACTGAGATATATCCTTACAAACAAAGATACATAGCGGGTTTCAGTAAATGTTCTACAAAGCCTCTTTCTTTGCTCCTCACTAAAGTATTTACAGTAGTGAAGGAGAAACTTCAGGAATACTGTTCAACAGTATATTCGAGAAGTGGTGTAAATCGGATATGGATACTTAAATGCTTCGAGGAACCTTTAGAAAATTTGAAATAAAAAAAAAAATTAACAAAATCGATAACATCAAATCGTACGATTTTTCAACACTTTAAACAACCATTCCCCACGATATATTAAAGTCCAGGCTTTATGACACCATAGACAGCTGCCTTTTCACTAAAAATGGAATTCGTAAATATACTTACCTTGACATTGGTCATTTGCAAAATTATTTTGTTTAAAAACATTCTTATTGTACACAGAAGTACACTGAAGTTGAAATTAAAAGATGCTTGAGTTTCTGATTGACAATGTCTATGTAGTTTTGGAGATCAGGTCTTCCAACAATCTGTTGGGATTCCCAGGGGTACCAATTGCAATTTGGATATTTTACAAGAAAAAGACTTGAATGGTAATCTAACAACAAAGCTTTATGATAAACGTGATTACTTCAATTTTTCGATCGTCAACTTCCCTTACTTATGTAACAATATACCCTTATCACCTGCATATGGGGTTTTTATCTCCCAGTTGATTCGATACGCAAGAGCATGCTCTATTTATGAACAATTTCTAAAACAAGGCAAGCTATTGACAAATAAGTTGATGAAACAATGATATCAACAGTGTTATTTGAAGTCATCATTTTGCAAGTTTAATGGTCAATACAATGACCTTGTCAGCAAATACAACCTATCATTAAGTCAAATGCATACTGATTGTAGGCCATTATTTTCTCACTGAATTGTCTAGGGATTTTTCCGATTTTCCCGATCATGACAAGAAGCACAAGGCGGGTGTGACCGTTCGGCAGGGGATGCTCACTTCATCATGGCACCTGATTCCACCTCTGATGTTTTTAGAGGTCTGAGTTTACCCTGCTCCCGATTTGTATTGTTTAAATGGACTTTGAGCTTGAATACTGTTATCTCCATATTTCATCGAATCGACATTCGAAAGGAAGTAAATATTGTTAATTGAAAAATCGTCGTCGATATAACTGAATGTCGAGTTGAAGGCCACAGCAAGTGTTTTCTTCTTCTCATATAGAAGTTTTTGAATAATTTCTTCTTCCTAGGAATATAAAGAATAAAGAAACACAAGTAGTGCTCATCGGAATTCCAACAGTTTGTTGGAAGACCTGGTCTCCGAAGACTACAAAAATGTTTTCAATAAGGAACTCCAGCATCCTTTTAATTAAATTCAGAGTACATTTGTGTAGAGTTATTTTTAACAAAGTAATTTTTTTTTTTGATAACCAATCACAAGATGTGAAAATTTCCAAGTTCCATCCATTTTTATTGAAGAAGCAGTTTCTATGATATCAAAAAGCCTAGTTCTTCATTTATCATAAGGATTATTTGTAGAAAGTTTAGAAAAGTGGTACTTTTTGATGTTACTGAATTTCGAAAAAAATGGTGATTTTCAATTTTCTAAAAGTTCTTAAAAAATTTTTAAAAATTCACGACTGTTTTACGTCACTTTTAGAATATGCTGTAGCGCAGTACGTCTGAAGTTTCTCCTTTACAGCAGTTACATGTAATATTTTATAAGGAGTAAAGATAGGGGTTTGTTAGAGCATTTTCTGAGCCCTACAATGTACGAGAGTTGACCCAAAAGTAATGTTACAACTGATATATAATCTTTAATATTCAAATGTTGATAATAAGATTTGACATACCAATACCTCTATCAATACCTCTGTCTTTTTTATTTCTGCTTAAGATTTCATTCGATTGTATAAAGGAATTTGTAAAATAAGAAGATAAACACAACCTTGGGTACGGTAGAAATGTTACCGACATCGTCATAGTGTTACACAGACAAAAGTGGCTCACACACACACACACACACACAAAAAAAAAGACAAGTAAAATTTATTTAAAAACTTCCAATTTCGAAATAACTTTCATATGAATTTTACATGAAGAGCATTTCGCATAAATACAGTGCAAAGAGAAATTCACAAAAAATATGTAAATATCGTACAAACCAATTCAAATAATATTCGCATAAGAAATATTTATATATTTTTTACATGATTTTCACACAATTTTCAAATAAAAAGAAACTAACTTGAATATCATGTGTATCACTTTTCCCTGTGTATCTTTCGGCACTCACTTTCAGTTCATCCGCATATCTTTTAAACCTTTCAGATGCTTCTTTTTAAAAATCAATACTGTCATTTTGCTTTAAATGCCTTGTTATGAGTTGTAGTAAATTAAAATTATCTGAACTTTGTCCAAATGTTATTTTTAAATTCATTTCTTTTGTGTAGATCTTATGTATCATTCATTTGTGAACAGGGCATATCCATTCATATCCATTCAAAAATTTCAAGGGAACCGAGTAAAGTTTAGTGCGAATGTGATGAAGACCTAATTGTTTGCTGACGTAATGTAAAAGTAAATCAAAAGAGAAATACAAAGAATATTTTTGTGTGGTATTTTTTATTGATTTCACGGAGGTGGCATGCTTTCTATCACTGTTTTCAAATCATCTAAAAGATGGGAATTCAATTTCTATGCATCACAGATATGTATGTGTCGATTTTCTATGTCGTAGAATTAAACTAATATAAAACAGACGAATGCTCATAAAACCTATTTTCAAATGTGATATACTACAGTAATGTCAGTAATGGTTCGAATTTTCAGAAATATAACTTTTTTTTAACTTTAACGCTTTGAGAATACTTTACGTGTAACTTGCAAAATTACAATTTTATTAATTAAATGTACTGGGTATTTAGAATTTCTTACAATTTATATTGTTCGTATGAAAGGATAGACTCATAGAATGTTGCATCAGTTTAAAAAAAAAAAGTAAATTAATGGGGAAATTTCATATGATATTATAATTTTCGGCTCGTTTTATGAAAAAGAAACGGAAATTGAGAATTTACAAAAAAAAATATATCAATGAGATTTGAAGGAAATATACATGATGATACTTATTTAAATCATATCAAATAAATTATAAAAACTGAGATATGTACAGGAACGCTCGCTTGAATCACCTACTAACTCCAAAAATTTACTGAGAAACATTTCGTTGTTGCCAAACTAGAGCCAAGCGCAAAGGTTTCAAAAATAACCCGTAATTGAATAGATTTGCTAGTTTATGAAATAGAAAAATCCTTCTAAAACTTTTCTATATTTTTTTAAAGGAAAGAATTAAATTTCTTTGCTGGAATGCACTCCAAGTATAAGGTTATTATAAGTCTTTCTTAGGAAATGTCCTTTGTCGGTAGAAGATACCGTAAACATAAATGACTGTATGATTACATCATCCTCCAGAAACCTCTACCCAGATCCAGGGAAATTCTAATGACAAATCTTCTTCGCTTCGTGTTTCTTCATCAGGTGGTGGTTTTTTCTTCCAAAGTAACTGGCCAGCATACACCCACAGAAGTAATTTGGGTAAAAAAGTTAAATTTGTCGCAAAAATTGTTCAGTTGATGTTATTCTTTCGAATATATTATTTTTGTAATTTATGATTACAAAGGGATTAGGCACAAGTTTCTTTACTTGCACCTGTTGAACGCTTTCTCCCT